GCTGGGATGACAGGCGTGAGCCACCGCACCCGGCCGGGTATTTCCTTTTAGTTCACTATAGCTAACAATGCTCTTAAAAACATCCCTGAACCCACAGACTTGCTGATGTGCCCGACCATTGTCCTTATACATTCCTGAAGCAGAATTTCTGGGTCAAAAAGGAGGCCCATTATTTATGTTCTTAATGCCTGTTGCTAAATTGCCCTCTGGAATGGCTGCTCCATTTCCACCGCCGCTCCCAGCGCAGTGGTGTCTTGGAGGCGTAAATTGCATAGGGCACTAAGCGCCGTCCAAGCTCGCTAGTGGCCCTCCGAGGACATCAGCGTTTATTCCTCAGCACAGAGTCTCCAAAGCTGGATTTTCCTTATGGTTTAGATTGCTGGCTTTTGAAGATGACAGTAGTGGCTTTATTCCTTTGATTTCCTGAGTGGAGAACCAGGAATGGCTGCAGGATCCTGTGTGCCTGTCAGACACCATAGGATGCCTTTGACTGGATGGAAACAGCAGGAAATGCTCTCAGGGGCTCACACAGGGCCTTGGAGCCCCTCCTTACCCCTACAACCCTACCTGGCCAACCTCGGTCTCTTTCTCTGTCGCCCTTTTCTCCACAGTGCTCAGTGCTAAAGGAAGAGTTAAAACAGGAAGACGCTCACAGGGAGCTCAGAGAAGCCCAGGAGAAAGAGTTAAAACTCTGCAAAACTGTGAGTTGAGCTTCCTCCTTCGTAGCTACCACCGGAAAAACCAGAGTTTGACCTTCGGGTTCTCGGTGGGATCCTGGGCCATCACTAAGCACGAAGCTCTGGGGCCCTGTGCTTGCTTAACAGTCTCATCGCTCTTTGATCTGCTGCTTCTGCAAGAAAGAGATGGGTGAAGGGGCCCCAGGATTCCCTGGGCAGTTGGCTCTACCTCCCTCAAGGGTTTCCCCTGGGGTCAGGTTGGGGTTGAGATCCGGGACAGGGACAGGAGGCTGGCCAGTTGGCCACCACATGGTCCCCTGCCCCACCCCTGACCTGTGACTCCCAAACCCTAGCCACAGGCACCATTGTTGACACTTGCTGAAGTATTTTTATTTAAACACCACCATTTAACACCCACTTGTAAAAACAAAACAAGGCCAAGAGTGGTGGTTCACACCCGTAATCCTAGCACTTTGGGAGGCCAAGGTGGGTGGATTGCCTGAGCTCAGAGGTTCTAGACAGCCTGGGGAACACGGTGAAACCCCATCTCTACTAAAATACAAAAAAAAAAATTAGCTGGGCATGACGGCGTGCGCCTGTAATCCCAGTTGCTTGCTTGGGAGGCTGAGACAGGAGAATTGCTGGAACCCGGGAGGCAGAGATTGCAGTGAGCCAAGATC